GAGTTCTCTGCGAACTTCCGGGTCGTGACCACCCTCGTGCAAGTCCCTCAGTGCCTTGGCCTGGTGCACTTGTAATCACGCCGTAGCGTGTAAGGCGGAGGCAGCTTCTCCACAGGTCGTATAAGCATCGCTGGCCAGTCGTGTACCTACAGACCCGGGAGGGGAGGCGGTATTAATACACAAGTGCATCGCAACCGACCGCTCCACCGGGGGTTTACACTCGAAGTAGATTGGTCTCTCTAAGCGAGCTCCCAATTCGTCGGTCATCCGACGTGACGTCGAGAGTGACCGACTGAAAGGGAACAAGTTTTATGGCATGAGATGAAGATCACATCGCACCATATTCATGAGTGTGATGATATCACTCACTGGGAATGTTCTATGGCCTGGAGTACCTCAAGATACTGTATGACTACAATGCACACCAACACAAAGCACGCAGAACAGAATAGCCAAAGTCATTCCCATTCTCATGAATTGTGCCCTTTTGTTTGGCAAAGTGTGTTCACAAATGATCCATTGTTTTCACGAGCGGTTTAACTACGGCTTACGGTGCCGGAGGGCTGCCAGCAGCATGCAAGAATGTCTGCTTTAGCCCCGTGCCCTTTAGCCTTTCACACAGGGAACAAACGCTACGCTTCCTGTCCATGATGTCATCAAATGGCAACATGAGACCCACAGCCCCTCTGCTCAGAGGTCATGGCCTGTAAAAAGAGCTCCTCAGCTTGGAGAAGGTAGAGATCTGATCTTGATGTATTAATATACTGTCTCACTTTAAACTTTGCCTTTTGTACACTTCACACGATTCCTCTTCTTTCTGTCCACTGCATTTGGTTGGGTGTTTCTGCGCCCGTGTGCATGTGTGTTTGAGTGTGTTTGTGCAATGGGAACAGACTGACCCAGGCTGCGAGCTTCAAGCTCTTGCTGTTGAACAGTGTGTTCTTTATCAACAACCTCGGGGCCACAGCTCTGCAGATTACAGCCATTCCTCCTCCTGATTCATTGTCTGCCAGACAAATGTTAATTGTTTTCATCATTGCCGGCTGTGCGGGGCCTGTCAAGCGGGCCCATCTCACCCCGTCTACCTTCCCCTTTATTGTCTTTCTTTTTGCGGCGTCTCATTCTTATCACTGTTTCAGCCTCTTCAGTTGACTCCAGTTGACCTTCAACAGTCCAGGGGTCACGTCTCACATTATCCACATATATGTGTGTTCGTCTTTGTGTTTCTCGCTGTATGTGCTTGATTGAGAAATTAAGAAACACCATACCTGACCTTTTAATATAAAACAAACAACTAGTATCTTTCATAAAGAAGATCTTTTCACACTTGTAGGTAGAAACAGATTCACCTTGAAACTTCCACTGAATGTAGTTGACCTAACTTGGAAATATTGCATTAGAGCATTTCATTCAGTTACAAACCCCGCTGTGTTTATTCTTTTAGAAATTGAAACAATTTTATGACCTTTAGACATAACCCCTCATACTCTTAATGAACTAAGCTGACTCACTTTTCTTCTGTAATGCACTCAGCTACTGATCTCAATAGAATTTCACTTTATTACCATGGTCCAGTCGTTCGAACACACATTTTACTGTTTACTGTGGCTGTTGAAAGACAGATGTGTAACATTCACTTTCCTGAAAAGCAGGCGGAATTTTTTCTTTCTGTTTGCTCAACACTTCCAGTCTTTTAAATGGGAAGGATTTTCCCCTTTTTTCTTTGTCTTCGAGGCCTCTTTTCTCTATGAGCACAAATTGTTTTGTTGCTCAAGGTTTGTGGGTCATACTCAAAGCTATGGATTTCAGAGATACAGAGGATTTCAATGCACACTGTTGTATGAAAGCCTCTTTACTGCAGTCGTCTGTGTTATGGGGTTTCACTCAAACTATGTTTGTGATAATTCTCTTTTTATAGCTAATGTGCGTTTTAGATAGCATTTTTAAAATAAAGCAGTACTTTATAAATTGAATTGGTATTTATACTGTAAGTATGTCCATAATGTGACGGTTTGACACTAAATCTACTTTGCCACAAGTCTGGATTTTTTTTCTCTTTGTATATGCATTCAGTTTAATTCTAAGATGTCACCTGTGTTTCAGAATCCTCCTGCATGGAGAACCTCCTTTCTAAAGACTGGAAAGAGAAGATGGAGCGACTTAACACAGACGATCTGTTAGGAGAAATTAAAGGTAAGAAGCCTGACTCTCTTTCAAATATGTTTCCATCAAATTAAGACAGGGAATAGTCCTATTATGTGGTCCACGTGCCAGAATATGGCCGAAAAAGTCACTCTTTCTCCTCAGAAGGACTGTTATATGAGTGTAATGCACATTATGGCAGCTGTATTTTGTTATTTAGATCCTGGAATGGAAATTATACATACAATCCTATGTATTCAAGTGAGATACATTTCTATAATGTTTGAAAACACTTTCAAAGGAAAGGTAGGCTTGCTATAAACAGAGAAAAGGGGAGAATAATGCATGTGTGATTGTATTGGAAGACAGTTCGGCCCATACACTGTTTAAACCCACGGAAGGTGTTCATGGGATGCACTTTCTTTTTTTTCTTTTTTTTTTGCATGAGCAGGTCTTAGCACTGGCTGTTACAGAGATGTGTTTATGTAGCAGGAGACAGCACTGCACCGGCTCTCTGATAACGCACTAGTTCTGCCTGGCTCCAGCCACGCACTCCTCCCTCACTATCTCTAACTCTCTTTCTCTTCCCTTTCTCTAGCACACTAGGGTTTGTTGTCCATTCCTGCCGACACCAATCCGCCCCATATCCTCAGAGCTTTACGTTGACCCTTGTTTTACAGCCACGTGTTTTTTATAATTGGATGAGGTACAGGTGTCATAGTAGTCAGAATATTCGATGTTATAGCATCAGTATGTCAGGGCACTTTTAATGGAGAAGACATTTAGGAGGCAGTTAATAGCAGGATTTAGATTTCAAGGGTAATAACACTGGAGAGAAGTGTTATTGTTTTTTTGTTCCCTCGCTTAATGGTTCCCTTTTCCTTCCCTGCACTATTTAGAATTATGAATAACGTTTGTCCTTGGTTTTGATTATTGGATTAGACTTACTCTCTGTGGCTTGTGGGTGGAGGAGGGGTCGAGTTGGGGGGTTGGGGGGCTGAGAGAACAGGGGAAAAAGAAACAGTCGTACATTCTAATAAGTGCATTCATTGGCAATAACCTTAATGAACCCTCAAATGTAAATCACATCTCAGTAAACCAGATTAATTGTACCTGTCCCCGTTATGTGGCACCGTAGATCAAAGTGCAGTGAAGAAAATGGCAAGGAAAGATTTAGCCTTTTGAAAGGAGATGTTTTTAAATTACAGGGTATTACAGGGTATTTTTCTGTTGGATAAATGGCCTTGGGTGAGGTCATGTTTAAAAGGTAAAAACAGGTAGAAGGCGTTGATAATACCCTACCAGTGACCTCCGTCGTGATTTCCTGCGAGGCTGCGGGGCGACTATAGAGAAACAGACAGAATTACTTTTCATATCATACCAGCAGCCTAAGGTTTCTAATTAGCCTGCCATTTCTTATGACTGTAGACATTTCAAAGGCCTCCTTTGTGCTCCCCCTTACAAAATGTCTCTCTCTGCGTTTGAAGTTGGCCTGATGTAAATACGGGCAATTAAAAAGGAAGCTCAGGGTTGGAGACACACAAGGTCTGCTTAATTAATACACAAACAAAGGCACCAAGCTGGAAAAGAAACACACACAACTTATGATTAAGATCTAAAGTGTTATGATAAATCAGAGAGCGCATTAATAGTCAGGTTAAAAAATCAATACAAAGGCCACACGTTCCTCTAGCTCGAAATTAATAGAGGAGAGCGCCGGATAAAAGATGGCACGAGGATGAAAAGGAAGCTGTTGCCTGTTTGGCCTTGCTGTTTTTACTCTCATATTTGAACCGATGGCATTGTGCATTCTACCCACAGTTCTTTGTGCCATTGTCACCGCATTATAAAAACCTGCCTTTGATCTTTGTTCGATAAATAAATCGACTAGGAATCGCTGCCCCCGCTGAACTGTATGTCTGAATAAAATGAAGTTTCTCGCTGCTTTCGAAATCTCCGCAGGTGTTCTTTAAAGCCTTTACATATTTTTCACCTTGTGAACCTGTCGAGACACTACGCTGTGGTAAGAAGCAGAGTTTAGATCTGAAAAAAGTAACCCTTGCTTTAGGGAATGACGAACAATAGTGGAGAAAGATAGTGGGGAAAAAAAGCTGAAACTCAGAGAACACTTAGACCTGTTTTCTAAAACGCCGCAACACGTCCAGACCTGCCCAACTCTGTTGCACAAAACAAGTAAACAATGTCATCACACCAGATCGGTTTTTGGGTTTAGATCAAGTTCAGTTAGTTTATCTAGTAAAATGAAATTGTATCAGGCTATTTACTGCATGAATGTGAGAGGCAGGCCAGATTTGTTTTTAAGTGCTCTTAAGTGTTGCAGAATCCTATGTGTTTTCTTTAAGCCTAATGTTGACATCGGCAGCGGTAGTGGGTACAGGGCTTATAGGGGAGTCAGCTACGGATCACTTTCCACCCGCCGCCACTGGAGTGGTGTGTTTGTTTTCATACCTGAGCTCAGCTGTCAATCAGGAGGAACGGCGAAGAGAGAGATGAGATCTGCAAAACAAAACCACAAAGCAGGAGAAGCAGGATGTCTGGAGGACGTCCAAACCACAGCAGTACCTGCTCGATTGTCAGCGAGAGAGAGAGGGAGAGATATATCAACAAATACAGAGTAACACATCAGATATATGCCAGAGAGTGTTAATCACCAAATTTAATGCAAAGAGGTGCGGCTTGTGCAACTAAGATGTCCATTTTTTAATGTGTATTAGAAGCTTTGATTCACTTCAGCTACATTTAATTTTTCATACAATTAAAGACATCGGCACCCCTGCACCCTTGTTTCATTATTTGATGTACCATATGCTGGAAACTTCCAAAAATATTTCGAATGAATATTCTGGTGGAATTTTAATTCGGCTTTGTCATTTTAATGGATTTCATTAGTGAATCAGAGGTCTACACTTCTGCCGCCGAGACGTTTTGTTTCTATCGCCTTGAACCCGATAGTGGTGTCCCTGACTGTTTAAAAATGCTACAAAAATGACTGGAAATCTAACTATACTCGCAAGATCGAAGTATTGGAAACCCAGAAAAGGATAGAAAATTTGAAGTCTCAGCATTGTGCGACCGCATGAAAATAGTGACTAGAGCTGCTGCGTGGAAAAAGGTGTCCCTCACTCTTTGCCTAATCAATTTCTGAGTGCCGTCTACATGGTTGTGGAGAGAAAGTCCTGTGGTTGGTAGATAAGTTTAAGCTTTTTAAGAGATCGGCAGGGCTGAGTGTGATTTCGATGTGACTCGTACCTGGCTTAGGCGCTCTTGGACAGAGAGCGGAGTGTGAGGGTACAGAGCGCCGATTGTTCCAGCAGCTGGATTTACTTGAAAACATGATTATTCAATTTAACATTAACTTTATTCTTAATGGCTCCAATAAAGGCAGAGAACCCATGCTAGTGTAGATACAGTATGTGATGTGACACTCAGGGATAAGCATGAACATTTTTTACATAACAGTCTTTTTTCCTCATTGTGAGGCACTTTTTTAATGCATTGCTGTTCCATTTAAAAACATTTGTATGAAACATGAAGCATTATACATGAATTAAGGTAAAAATTATTATTTTATATATAAAAAAGTCAAAACTAGGGCTGTTAAAGTTAATGTGTTAACACTGTTTTTATACTGTTTACACATTTATTCAATTTACAGTTTCATTCAGTTCTGTGGGATTTCTAAAAAAGTATCAGATCCTCATAGATAGGAATTATTTTTATATGAATGACTTTTATGTATTTTATGTTTCTATTATTATATAAATACACCATAATCGTCTTAATTATTATATAAATATTATCATATTAATCATATTATTTTTGTATATTGTAATAATAATTCAAAATATGAATAAAAATATTTTAACAATTAAATTATTATATAAAACAGATTTATGTTCAGTACATTTTATTGTACTTTCAAATTTGTAAAATAATTTTATAACAGTTAAAATTATTTTGAAGCTTCATTTATTTTTTTGGTTTATTTGATTTGAAACATAGTGGGTGGAGAAAAGGACAGAGCATTTTATTAAATATTTATTAAACATTAAAAAAAAAAAACTACGAGAGTTTGCAAAAAACACAAAACAAATATTAGATTAATTGTAATTTAATTATTTTGTTCAATTTATAATTTTTAGCACAAATATGTTTTGAAGTGAGGCAAAAAAAAACACATTTCTGGCAGCTTCCTGATGTATGATCTATGCCAGATTCGAAAGCGTTTCCCATTACTCCTTTTAGACATTGTTCCTGACCGAGAGAGAGGAAACCTTCTCCACCCATCACAGCATCTGAAATGTTCCTCCATCTCCCCCATCCTCTAGCAGCACGCTCTGCATTTTTCTCTCAATAGTCAAACTGTTTGCCCTTATGTACACAAGTGAAATATGAGCCACTGTAAATTATTATTCTTTGGGCCACATTTGCAAGATGAATGCGGGGAAAGCTGTGCTCCGTTTCTCTCCTAATGAATTGAGGAATTTAGCTTGTGGTGTTTGGCTGTAGAAAGGCACACCTTGTTTGCTGCCTCTCCTCACATGGTGTTATTGAAAGTGCTTGTGAACAGGAGCGCGTTGAGGGGAAGACAGCCTTCGAAGCAGCCCGACACACACACACACACACACTGTTCAGACCTGAGGAAAATCACTTCACTAAGAGAGGAAACCTTCTCCACCCATCACAGCATCTGAAATGTTCCTCCATCTCCCCCATCCTCTAGCAGCACGCTCTGCATTTTTCTCTCAATAGTCAAACTGTTTGCCCTTATGTACACAAGTGAAATATGAGCCACTGTAAATTATTATTCTTTGGGCCACATTTGCAAGATGAATGCGGGGAAAGCTGTGCTCCGTTTCTCTCCTAATGAATTGAGGAATTTAGCTTGTGGTGTTTGGCTGTAGAAAGGCACACCTTGTTTGCTGCCTCTCCTCACATGGTGTTATTGAAAGTGCTTGTGAACAGGAGCGCGTTGAGGGGAAGACAGCCTTCGAAGCAGCCCGACACACACACACACACACACTGTTCAG